CACACACACACACACACACACACACACACACACACACACACACACACACTTGCTTATAAACATATGAGTGTTGCTCAATCTGTGTGGAATAAGAAGATAAAATCAAATTAACACAACAGTGTGACATTATGTTCTACTTATGAGAATACCAAAGATTAAAAAACTGGCCAATGCTTGCTGTTGGTAACAATGTAGTGATAAGTATTCTCATTTCACTGTTCATGAAATATATTTGAAAGGTATTAAATTTGACCTAGAAATTTCCCTTTCTAGGAATTCATCCTATAGGTACAATCATACATGTTCATAAAAATGGCAAAGTAGCATTGTGCTGGTAAGTTACTGGAAGCAATACAAAGTTCATCAATAGGACTAGTTTAAAAACTTATGGAACTGATAAAATGAAATATTGTATGGTCATTAAAATGTATTGATGGGGAATTATCTCCAAAATATATTATTTGATGAAATGAGCCATGTAAAGAACAATACAAATTACGTTTTGTTTTTTTTTAAAGATCACTCTATGCAAGTATCCAATTATTTAAATGGATAAAAAATACTTCCTGAAGAATTTACTGGGGGGCGCCTGGGTGGCTCAGTCAGTTGAATGGCTGCGTTTGGCTCAGGTCATGATCCCAGGGTCCTGGGACCAAATTCAGCATTATTTAAAAAGATTTTTAAAATCTTAAAAAAAAAGAATTTACTGGAAGCCATGTTTGCCTCATAGGGAGAGAAATGGGGGTACCCAGCTTGGGTGAAATGTATTTTTCATTGTCTACACTTTGTTGTCTTTGTCTTTAACTGAGTGTGTATATTCCTTTATCAACTCAAAATTTATTTTTTAAAGAAGATTTTATTTATTTGACAGAGAGAGCAAGGGGAGCAGCAGGCAGAAGATGAGGAAGAAGCCCCTAAACGGGGAGCCTGATGTGGGACTCCATCTCAGGACCCTTGAGATCATGACCTGAGTCAAATGCAGACGCTGAACTGACTGAGCCACCCAGGCGCTCCTAAACGAGAAAGTTCTTGAAGGAACTCTCCCCTTCCTAGTAATGCTCTCCATTCTCAGATACTCTGAAGTCTAAGAAATTTGGAAAGGATCTAGCTATTATTTTAATTTATCCAACCTGAAACAATCAGTTGGCAAATGGATATTTTTCTTCTAAAATCATATTTTACTAAGCGTATTTAAGGGCTTGAGATGTTTTCAATCATTCTACTGCAATATAATAGTTAATTTTAAGAGCTCTGTGAGTTTGATTTGTATTTAAGATTTTTGCAATCTATATATAGGTTGGTCTTTAATAACCATTTATACATTGCTTCTTTTTATATAGGTCATGTATTCTCCTGGGAGAGTAACAAGATTAGAAATAACAAATACAGTACAGAATAAATTAAAGTGCTTCAAACTGCATTATATAATTTCAGAAAATTGGCTTCACACTGAAACGTTTAAATAAGAAAACCAAGTGATTTAAGGGGGAGAAAAAAACCCATAGTATATGCATTTTAATTACTATTGTTTAGCATGTTTTTTCCTTGGCAGTGTCGTATCTGTTCACAGGGCTCCAGTAATGCAGCAGCTCACTGGGTCAATATGGATAAAATTATTATTATTTTTCCTTATTTAAAAAAGTTGGCTTCATTCTCCCTGAAGATGAATAGCATTTATTAGTCAAAATGTCAAAGGAGTACCATAAAAGTAATTGTATTTTTATATATAATTCTCCAAACTCTTGTATACAAAATGTCCTTATTACCCTTAGTGCCATAAATTTGGAGGCTATTATGGGACAGGAGATAGCGAAATGGGGGCCAGTACTTTTCTAATTACTTCAGATAATAAAATGTGGGTCTTGGTTTTCCTCTCCCAACAAAATGAAGGAGTTCAGCTGCTCAGGAGGGTCTATTATTCTGGCTGGTTGTGTTTGTTTCTGTGAAGTTTAGCATCGCTCTCCTTGTACTGGGTCCTCAGGCCTTTTTCAATTTTTCTATTCGTGCATTAAAGGCCTCTTCCTGTATTTGCAGCTTTTCGTTTATCTCGGTCTGTGAAGACAATCATAAAAAAGTGGTTATGATGGAGCTATCTTTTGCTGCACATTGTCTTTGTGGTTTTGACATACTATAGTGCCTAAAGACAGACATTATCCCTCACACACCTTCCTGTTTTGCAGACAGAGCCGTGTTTCAGCCTGTAGTGATGTGATAAACTTTATCATATTTCTGTGCACATTCCCGACGTATAGCATGGCTGCTGTGAACAGGAAGTGGTATTTGGACAGCCATTTTTCACATAGCCTTGTGTTGGGAGATAGGATAATTTATCTGTATTTTCAGACAGACTTTACCAATAAGCACCGAATCAGAATAACTGCTCTGGGCTCAGTGAGTGCGGCGTCGTGGTTCCCCCACCCCTGTGCCATGATGTTTTTGTCTCCTGTGTGATACCTTCTAAATGAGATCTCAGAAAGCTTCTGTTGTGAAATCACAACACAAATAATCTCACAATTATAACAGCTCTCATAATTAAGAATATTCATCATACATTATAACTCTTGGAATTATGCCACTTTGTGGTACAGTTTGGGTAGAAAAACTACGTGATTGCTGACAGGTTTGAGTGTTTGCTGCAGCTGTGATAGCATTTAGCCTCTGGCAGTGATATTCTGTGGGCTGACATTACTACCTGCACAATTCCAGAAATCCTTCCACATTATCTGAACATTAGTAGTCCCGGAAATGTCTTCCCTTTTTCATGACAAATAATAAAATTATGTATCGAGAAGCCAGTGGTGACTGATGTGGCAAAACTGGTGTTTTGTTTAGGTGATTTAAGAAACGTTTATGACCATACTAGGAGTAGTTCATACACATAACTATTAATAAGCAATTTGAAGTTTAGAATGTTAACATCTATAACATAATTTGATGTCTCCGGGGTTACTGCATTTTGAGAAACTTCTGTTATTTCAATTTATACAGAATACATTTAAAAAATCAAATACTGTTTTGGGCTACATATAAATTTTCATTCTTCTTTATTTATTTATGAGTGTAACTGTAATGGATAGTTTTGAAGTGTACACCCTAGTTACCTTATCGGATAAGATTTTGTTTCACTTTCATGGTAAGAATCAACATTTCTGAAAAGATCATTGATGTTAACAATTCTGGATCCTTATGTGAGTATCTGTCTTTTTGATTCAAGTTTTTTTTTTCATTGTTATCATTTTTAAAAAAGATTTATTTACTTTTGAAAGAGAGAGAGAGAATTCATGCGTGAGGTGGGGGCAGAGGGAGAGGGAGAGACTCTCAAGCAGACTCCCTGCTGAGTGCAGTCCTGACAAGGGGCTCCATCTCAGCACCCTGAGATCATGACCTGACCTGAAATCAAGAGTCAGACCCCTAACTGACTGAGTCACCAAGGTGCCCCGATTCAAGTTTTATCAAGCCCTACCTGAGGCTCTGACCTCTGGTTTCTCATTTTTTTCCTTCTTCCTTTCTTGGTGTTTGGGTGAGGAGGCAAGGAAGAATGAACATGGGCCTCCAGATTACAAAGGAACTCTGTCATTTTTCAGAAATCACTAATCCCCTTGGTCATGGTTTTAGTAGAGGTGGAAAGAGCACTGGTTTAGGAGGTGGATTAATTTAGTTATGTAACCTTGGATAAGTCACTTAGCTACCTTGGGTATTAGTTCTTACCTGAAAAATTAAGTAGTTAAAAATTAAGTATGTTAACATTACATGCTAACTTTTAAATTTGTAATTCCAACTCCTGATTTTCTGATATATTCACCAATGTTATATTTCAGTAGTATGGCTTTGTGAAATATTTTTAAAATATGTTACTCCTGCTTCTTTCTGGTGTGCAACGTAATAGACGATATAGGAATTGAAATGGTTTGAAGAAATAATCTTGTCACAATTCCAAAGGATTGAGAAACACTACTCTAACTAAGCAGTTAATTAACTCTTCCCACTTTCAATTAATGTGTTCTATGTCCACTTATACTTTCATTTCTTTCAACTAAGGACACCAGCTTCTGTTTTACTGTGTCACCAGTGTTTGCACATTAACCCGGAGACCTCTCTGGTATTTCACTGAAACAAAAATCATTGACACAGGTGTGGGCTTGGGGGAGAAGGCTCGTGAGGATAAGGTCCGTGCCAAATAGCATTGTGTCCTGACAAGGGGAGGTACATCTCAGATCTCTAGACCATGGTGATCAGTACTTCAGTTCAGGTACAACCAGCAGAGCCTGGATGAAAAGCCTCCTGCTCTGGTCAAGAACGAGGTTGTCATTAGTCTACCACATCTCCATGTTATTCTTCAAATGCTGCTGAGCAGATGATTAGCTATCCCACAACCACCAGCATAGGGAAAGTTTCTGTTGCCTTTAAGGTAAGAATGGAAAACCTATGACCGGGGTGCCTGGGTGGCTCAGTGGGTTAAAGCCTCTGCCTTCAGCTTGGGTCATGATCCCAGGGTCCTGGTATCAAGCCCCACATCGGGCTCTCTGCTCATAGGGGGACTTGCTTCTTCCTCACTCTCTGCCTGCCTCTCTGCCTACTTGTGATCTCTGTCAAATAAATAAATAAAATCTTAAAAAAATAATAATAATAAAAGACCTAATTAAAAAAAAAAAAAGAAAGAAAAGAAAACCTATGACCTGGGCTCAGTATCCTCTCACTGACCACTACCTTGAGGTGTTCTCCCATTCAGTTTTTCTAACCTGGAAATTCAAGTTGACCTAAAAATACCTCAAGTCCCAAGATGGCAAACTTCCCTCAAGGTTTTTACATTATTTTGCCCTGTTGCTTGGACAGGGCCAACAGCCAACATTTAATGCAAGAACTTAGTGTTGGTATTCATATTTCTCTGAAACGCAATTCTTTAAATATATTAAAGTTTGTTCCATTGGGTATAATTTTTATTATACAACTCAGGGCCAAAATAATTTCATTTTGAATGTATCTTTAAAATTATAATACCTAAACTTTATAAGCTTAAAATGTTTGCTCTATTCAGTATAATTTTAATTAACATCTCAGCGCCAAGATAACTTCATTCTTAATAAATCTCTAGAACTATAAAGTGCGTCAATGGGAAAGTAAGTGGATTAACATAAAAAATTTAAAGATTCACACTACATTCTCTGAAATTTCTGAATTATATAAAGTGAAAAATGCCTGAAACCACACTGGAGAAGGAGCTCTAAAAAAACTGGATTCAAAACATGAATTCTCTACTGCCTTTTCTTCCAAAAATTATAATAACAGCATGGCTCTTAAATAAAGGAGAAAAAAAAAACTATTGGAAAATTGAAAACATCTTGCAAATATTAATTCATTAAATGTTCCTACAGCCAGTCAGCATGTTCCTACCCTGACCACTGACATGTGGCTACCTTTGAACAGGAATGTTGCAGTTTTAAGAGCGAGGAACATTGGAAGTCAGGGTTTAGAAGGGGAAAATAACCTACCTATCTAAAACAGGGGAAAATTTTTAGGTAGGCAGAGAGTAATTAAACTTGGGACTTGACCAAGACACAAGGGTAAACACTGAAATCGTGCCACTCCACTGGAGTATTAAAGTCCAAAGTAGTCTGGTTGTGATATTAGAGGTTGTGTGGTTTTTGTGGATAACACTGGGATTAGAACTAGAATCCAGGTCACAGCTCCCATTTGGGGCCTTTCAACAGTTTCTGACCCTGGAAATGCTGAATAAATGATTTAGTCTTTCCATGTCTATGATTTTCCAATTTACTTATCAGGGACTGCCTGACTCATTCTCATGTAGTTTACCAGGACTGTTGAGAGAAAAGACATAAATGGGTTTGCTATATCTTGAGACATTGTATAAATCCACATCATCAAGCCATTTTATTGGAAAATCGGCAGTAATTTGGCCCAGATTAATGTCCATGAATCCACTTAAAATGGAAAGGATCGTGGCACCTAAAAGATCTGCTCCCATCACCTCTGGTCTAAGTCCTTTCTATGCCTAATTGCGTTTAGATGAACCAGCTAATGAACTTCCAGGGCCAGCAAGGTTGGCTTCAGGCCAAAGAGACAATAACACATGCATACAGTAATCATATTCTTTCTGTTATAGAGTAGTGGAATAAGTGTTGCAAACTCTAACAGCTAAAAAAAAATTCAATGAACAGTTAAAAATATACTGCTCCCTACATGGAACATGGCCTTGGTAAAGATGTTTTCAATTTTGGGGGCCTGCAAACAATTCTATTACTGTCTAGTAGTTCCTCAGCAATAATTTCAGAGCTGCAGGATGGCAAAGGAGCCCAGGGCCATGATTATACATAAACTATATTTAGATGAAATGTTATCAAATCTAAAAAGGAGATATGTTCTGAACTCAGTTTAATTCAACTGCACTCTGCCCTTCCACACAGTAACCAGTTATTACATTCATGGGATTGTTAACAATAAAGCTTTGTGTAAAACGTGTTCTACCACTATTTCTGGTAAACACTAAACACCCCTTATTAAGCTGAAGACTTTGGCTGATTCTGTTCGTATCAAATCATTAAATGTTCATGTAAATAGTGCATTAACGTTTGATGATTAGACAAGTAACAAGGTATGCTTATGCCAAGCCAATCTTTTGCTCTCTCTAAATTAGTTGTTAATATGATGTGCTTTTCATATATCATCTCATGTTTCAGATAAAAATTAAATCCCTCCCTGAGATGCATTAATATTTTAACCATGTAGTATGTTGTTCTATTGATTCATGGTCATTTCTACAAGAAATCATAAATCTTCTTAAAATATGCAATTCACTTACTTAACCATTTTGCCTGAAAAATGATGTTAAGTCTTTGTGTTCAGTTAAAGATGGGTTTTTGTTTTGTTTGGACAGGAAAAAAAGATTAAACATAAAGCTAAACTGATTGATCCGTGAACTACCGGGATAGCTGTCCCATCCCCATTTCCATGCAGCCTTTGGTGAACATGGCTTAGCTACTAATGGTACTTAAAAATGAACAAACTACCTGACAGGGAGTTCAAGGATTTTAAGGCCTCTCTTTACAAATTTGGTGAGAAGACTTACCTAAGAATCATGGTTGAAATTCCATGTTTGTACTCGGTTTACTCTTGCATGAGCCATGTTTACAGTATGACAGGCATGGAGTCTTTACTGTGTTACTTTTTGGGTTCTGATGATGGGGGATTTTGGAAACTGGCAACACACCCCACCACTACGTGCTGTTGGTGAATCTGTTTTGTGATCTTATTGAGTCTCCGATGACTCAACTGTGAATTACGTGGAGATGTGAAATTGAAGTCCTCCATGGTAGGTATCACTCTTGCTCGCAGAGTGTGGGTAGTGTTTATAGACATTAAAGCTCAGGCTGGTTAATTAACCAGTAATAATAAAGTAAGTGAGCACACTATCAAGGGTGAGTACCTGAATGCCAATTACAATATCATCTGTGACTTGATCCAACACTGCTTTTATATCCTTGATGGTGAAACCCACTAAAGGATCCTCGGCGGAAGTGTTGGCTTCTGACTGGGATTCCTCAGGGCCTTGTTCTTGATCCAATCCCTGGAATATTAAAAGGAAAGCACACTTAAGTGACTTCTGGAACATTCGTGATTTATATGTGCCCTCAGACCTCTCCTGGGTGCTTTTCTACAAGGAACGATGTCAATCTGGAAGAAGGTTTTGATTGGATGTTATCCCGCATTTCTGTTATTCATGGGCATCAGGACAGATCAAGTCATGGTGCCGCTAATCAGTGCTTACTTTGAGGAAAGTGAAAGTAGAGAGATTAAAATTGCTGAGCCATCCTCAGCTGGCCCACCAGCTAGTCAACCCTAAAAGAAATGTTTATATCGAGCTGGGAAAAATCAGAGGGAAAGACAATGGAAGAGCATTTTTTTTTTCCTCCTGCCCATAGAGATTATAATGCTGAAACAAGGTGAATTAAGAGACAGAAGGAAACCTACCTTCATTTCTGTATCCAGTTTTGGGGGTGTCTCTATGAATGTTGAATAAATATCAAATGAAATTCCTTCTTCTAGAGGATCTGGGAAGAGACCACCTGAAGGCTTGACAACCTCTAACACTTGCTGGAGGGGAAGAAAAGAGCTATATTATGAAAAAGCCTTTGGTGACTAACCACAATTTCGGCCAATTCATTCATTTCTCTCTATATATTGTAATGAATATATAGTATATAATACATAGCACATATTATATAATATATGTATTATATATTACCTATATAATACATAGACATATTATATAACATACATCATATATCTATTATCAATTAAATTAATTAAAATTATATTATATATATATACATAATTATGTATAATTAATGTAATATAAAATTTTTACATAAGTATGCATATGTTTATACATAGTTCCAAGTCTATTATCTTTTAAGTGCTATCTCCTCTGAATTCTTGACACCACTGCCCTCTTAGTTCTCTGTTGCTTTTTGTTCTCTGTATCTGATAATTAGCATTTTATTCTTCCCAATGTCTTATTCTTTCTATACTATGTGGCTTAGGACTTCATTTTATACTGCCTTGATCTTTAATTGTTTTTTTTTTTTTTTTTGGATCTTTAATTGTTTTATGCATCAGTGTCCCCTTCCTGTTTCCTACAAGCTCTCTCTAGGTAGAGACCATGCTTTAGATCCTTTGTATACCTTCTCCAGTTCTGGCAGAGGTTGGGTGCTTGAAATATTTACCAACAGCCTAATGGTGATCAAGGTTACTCAGCAGAGTGTGGCCATTCTTGGGGGCAATGGCAAAGTGACCACCGAGAACTTGGTGATGAGGACAATAAAGACTCTGAAGGTTAATGCATAAAGTCAGTACACTATGAATCAGAGAGGAGATCTGCAAAACCAACCAAAAACACAGAGGGCAAGGCAAGACCTCACCAGGAGCACTTCAGAATTGTGTAGCAAGTGTGCAAAACTGAGGGAGGGCAATGGTTGGTCAAAACTGGAAATGAAGAAATAGGAGTCAAAGAAGTCAACTTAAGTGGTGTCCATCCCACCATGACTTGGAAGTGAGAAAGAGAGGAACGTACTGATGATGGCAAACATCTGAATCATTTAATTAGTTTTGTTAAAATTCTGATTCTAACAAGCAACATTTTGATCATAATTTGACTTCCTATCTCCATTGATCTATAAAGAAGTGCCTAGCTCAGTGCTTTGATCTTCATGTCCTATTAAATTCCTCACTGTACATCAGTACGTTGATGTTCTCATTTATACAGTGAGCTTGCTTTTGAGGCCTAGAGGTGAAGCTACCCACCATGTGCTGACAAAGTCAAACCATGAACATACATGTTTAAAGACAAAAGTCTGGGAATGCATAAAATCACCAGCTAATTACCATCCTCCAGGACCTGGAAAAACTGGAAATCATCATCCATTCATTTCTAACTTCTCCACAATATTTCTTTTTTTTAATTATTATTTTTGATTGATTATTTTTATTAACATGTAATGTATTATTTGCCCCAGGGGTACAGGTCTGTGGATCGTAAGGCTTACACACTTCACAGCACTCACCATATCACATACCTTCCCCACTGTCCATAATCCAACCTCTTCTCCACAATATTTCAAGTTAACTTGCATGTTAAACATGTGATCATGTATAACTTACAGGTTGTAATGTTTCATAATGATTGAAACATTATGAATATTAATAATTGAATATTTATAATATTTTTTATTTAGATAGGTTTGGGAATGTCCTGAAAACTTAAGCTAATGCTTGGTCATCCCAGTGTATTTCATATTGAATTCATATTATTAACTTTAGTTCGATTTTATAGGAAGTTGCTGCTTAGTAAATCTAAAGAAAGACTGAAGTGTTAGATAGAAGTTAATAGTCAAGGCAATTTGGAAACCAAGAGATCAAATAGTTGACTTAAGGTCAAATCATCACCTAGGGCCCAGGCTGGGAGTTAAACCCTGCTGTGCTGACTTCTCAGCCTGTGCAGTTTTCAGTATCCATGTCATCATGTTGCTGTACTTGGAAATTATTGATTATTATTAATCACTTAATCTCTATTCTGTTAGGTGACATCATTCCAGATTATTCTTCTTAAATTGACTAAACATTAATAGAAATATAAAAAATATGGAAGAACAATTCTTTTCTTTCATCATGTTCACAAGTCATCTTTTCCCCTAAATGAGACATGCAAACATTTTCTTCTTCCCACAAAATTATTTGTGTCTTTTTTTCATCATGCTTGTTTTTCATCCTCCCACACCTTATATTGCTCTTTATTTTACCAAGCTTGGAAAAGGAAACAGCTAAATATAATTTAGTGTTCTTTGCAACATTATCAGTAAAATAAATAAGCTTCACTTGGGAATCCAGAGACAAGGGTGGATGATGAAGCATTTAATGAGTGGTGCACACTCTCACAGAGGGTGAGGAATGGGAATTTGGGGGAAGTGGTGGCAAGTCAGACATTGGAAAGCAGAGAGCAAGGAACCCAATAGGGTTTGCTGCTTTTACTGTATGCCCAGAGAAAGAAAGCATGAGCAAAAAAAAAGAAAAAAATATTTCTTTTATTGAAGCAGAATTTTATTTTGCTGCTCTTGCCAAATCTGTCTTGCAGCTCTGCTTTTCTACACACAGGCTAGGACTTTCTGCGAATTTTTTCTGACCCTCTCATGGAAGTTCTCAGCAGATCACCTCTGCATCCTGGTGGTAACAGATTTTCCCCTCCCCCATCAAGCCTTTTCTTCCATCAGATCGTACACTTAAGTGCAAGAGACACATTTGTGGGCAAGTTTCGTCCCTCACACCTCTGTGGTCCACATTTCTTTACGAGGCTCATCTGAACTACTTGCCAACTACCCAGTTTTCCTGGTCTTTGGCATTGGGTGTGCGTGTGTGTGTGTGTGTGTGTGTATCGGGCACATACTTGGGAAGCTGGGCCACTTCCAGCCCTACATTTTTATTTTATTTATTTTTTTTGGTGGAGTGGAACTCCTGTTTATCTCAAGAACCTCTTTTGCTTGATTTTTATGAATATATCTCATAGCTCATACAGGTATTCATTTGATTTAATTCCTGCACAAAAACTTGTGGTGAGAATTTCTTCAGAGTGTTTTGCATACTATCAGTGAACCAAATCATAGCCACATTTTTCTCTTTCACAAAGAGTTACAGTTGGCTTTGTTACTAAGATACTACAAAGGAAAGAAATGCCCCAGTTTTAGATGGGGGTAAATAAGAAGACATACTGTCAAATATATAGTTTGAAATAAACCTAGTGCCAGAAGCATCATAGTGATTTTCCCCCCATTAAGAAGTCTTTTTAAAAAATAAGTTTAAGGAAAATTAGAATCAATAATTGTGGTGAGAGCAGAGAGCTAGCAAATATGTTTAAATGAAACCGTCTGATGCAATACTTTCTTAAAAAAATACAATTAGGCCTTTGTATTTTTTTTTTAACAAAACCTCATGTTTTACAACATCACTGGTTCTGTAATAAAATCTATTTAAAACAGAAAGACATGGTCAGCTTTATTAAGTTAGATTTTCTGAAAGAACGTTATAATTTCCTCAAGTCTATGAATAGTTGAGGCAAATTAAATAAAGCTAGTTTTATAACTATTTTTATACATTCCTGTAGCATTGTAATTGTATCATATTTTTTTCCTCAAAAGTCTAATATGTTACCTCTTAAACCTAGGAAAATAAAAACAGAAAAAGGATCAAGTATGTTTATTTAAAAAACGCTCCTATTTGGTATCCTGATTTAGCAAGCACCCTTTCTTCTTCTCTAAGAGAATAGCACCCATAATCTTCAGAGCAGGAAACAAAGGAAAAGATTTTAAGTGACTTGCCTGAGGCCTAATGCTGAGATTAAAAATCAGGAGTTTCTGATTATACACATACATCCATTTGGCCAAATGATTGGTTTTGCTTGACTTTCAAATACCCCCTAAATATTACTTTGAATGTAAAGCAATAAATGTGTTTCTCTTGCCATTTTTGAATGCTTGCACACAAATGGATATAATAAAAACAATCATGTTGTTCCATGTGAATGCCATTTATATTTTTTCTGATAATGAGCAGACCATTTGAACCAAGGTGAGTACATTAAAAGTTCTAATAAAGAAGAGAATAGATTTCTAAACAGAATAATGGACTGTTAAGTGAACATACAATAAATAACATCTACAGATGTGGTCGCTAGAAAATTAGTTTTGCATAACTTACCAATATACATTTCCCCCAGATGTTATCTGTTACATGAAAATTAACTTAAGTTAGCTATATTGTTCATTACGTGCACACTGCATTAGTGTTATTTAAGATGGTCTACAATCTGAGCTTTAGTTGAATTGTGCTATGGTATTTAAAGAATATCAAGTAAATGGCTTTTTGGCATAATTTAATACACGTAAGTACAAAATTTCATCACTGAAACATTATGTAGGTTTTTAAAAATCCAAGATCTTTACTTTACAAGCCAAATGAAATCACTAGAATACTTTTAAGATTTTACATATTCAATATGAAATGGACATCTATCATGGGAATAAGTGATAGGAATTTTGAGTCCTCCTGGAACTAAGTACAGGGTCAGTGTAGGCTTAAAGAATGCTTATAGGAATTAGAATCTGCTCCAGATTTTATTGTGTCTGAGAAGAATAAAAATTGTATCTGAAAATTGTGTTACTTCATGCTTTCTTTTTATATTTTATGTGTTTGTGTTATTGATAATACAAAGTCTGGCTTACTGTTTTTGTTATCCTGGTGTTTTTTTTTAATGTTTTTGTTTATTGTTACTTATTTTTTATTTTTCTTTGAAAAAAAGTGTGGGCGGATTTGTGGATAGTGGTTGTACCGATAAAATCTATGATCAAGGTGGCAATTACTAAATTATTAAATCCAATTATTAAAATATGCAAGATATTAAAAATGCCATTGAAATGACAACTCTCCACTGTTTTGAACAGCAGAAAGCAAGATAAATCTGTTAAACCTTTTTGGAGCGATAGAAATACGTACAAAATACTGGTATGCTTTAAAAAGACATTTGTTTCAAATTGTCAGATGATGAC